TAATTTTAAAGATCAGGCTAACAGAAACTGGACATATCAAAATAGTATTGTTTAGCTTTAGTTCATCATGATGAAGAGATCATTTTAGTAAAAGATAAAACATACTCATTAAGAAAGAAAGGTATCTAAAAATTAGTGCATCATTTCCAGTATTTATTAGTTTAGCTCAGCTGTTACCGGGTTCTTACCTTTATGTAAATCCTAAATCCTTCTCCAACAGCAAGGCTATTACTTATTCATGCACTCCCCGTTTCTCACATATAAAGTAAGTAAAATCCACGAATCAACTGTTGCCAGTTGTTAGCTCTAAGTGAGTATAATGATGCAGATAAGAGGCTCATTAGGGGTTTTTCTAGCATGAGCTGGCTAAAGATACAGTCCTAGATAAAGACAATGAAGACAACTCACGTGAGTCAGGTCTTTTTTGGGTTTTCTAGAACTTCATAGTCTACTTCTATTGGACTCAGTGTACCACTGAAGTAAATGTAATACTATTAAAAAAGACTCATACTGCTAATTTGTTAGGATTTGTTATATCTGACACTGTATCATCAGCAAAAAGCCAGAAAAGCTGTACCTTTTTCTTTGTTCATGTTTTTTTTTTTATCAGTCATCTGTGATAGGGTTGGGTACAAAGGCACAACTAGAATGGAAAATGTTTTCCTTTTTCTGAGTCAAAAGGATCTAGTGTTACACTCTTGTTCGCTGTAGCTCATTATTAGGAAGCGTTAACAAGTCTGTGTTCAGGCAGCGGGGGGAGTAAGTACACAGTAATTGACTCCTGGCCTCTCTCGTCGCATTAGCGACCCAATAAAATGGCTCTGCTTTCACAGGCGTGCAAGATGACTGAGGGAACATGGTTGTCTCATTTGTCATCAGAACTGCCTCAAATAAGGCCTCAGCATATGAACCATGAACTTGATCTTCCATTTTATAATAGACTCATTGGGTGTGCATCTCTCTTTATCCGTATCTTTATTTTTTCCCTATCATCAGACTCTGTGAATGAAGCCTCATTTGCATGACAGTGTTTCACAGCATAAAACACCAGTTTAACATTCAATTGCACACATAGACTGTATTTATGCACACACAAACTGTGACTTGAATGTCAAAGGCATGTCACTGCAGAGCACAACCACAGTCTGGTAGCAGCTGAGGCTGCCGTGTGTCTGAGCAGACTCCTTAGAAGCAGGCAAGGGTGAGGGTGACAGCGTCAGCTTGGCTTTCCTAATGAATGTCTCACTTCCTGCGGCACACTTCCTTCACTCACCCCTTGCAGGCACCTAGCACCCCACCGCCTACGGGCCCAACATCTCACCGGTCGACAGCTAGTGCCATCGTTGGTATGACCTCATGGCCTCCCAACCTCGCCAGCGGAGCCAGTGTCACTTTGGTTTTGGCAAAGACTAGGGTTCTGGGGGTGGTGTCAGGCCATTGTGAAGGATAAATAAATTAATAGAAGTTAATGAGAGAAAGAGTAGCGGCACAATGAAAATTTGTGTTTTTACAGTGTCTTTAGAGTTTCAACACAGTAAGACATTAAAGAACACAGACTGGCATTATTAGTAAACCATAATTATTCTAATATTTCTATGTGTAAAATCTATCATTAAAATTATACTGCCATAGTCAAAAGACATGGAGGGAGAGTGAACAATAACTTTAAATTGCCAATATGTTTGTCTGGGCCTTTCTATATACAGTAGAACATTTCATTATGGATTACTAACATGTCCAAGATATTCCCCACTATGCACCCAGTACAGCCCTAGAAAGATGCAGAAAATAGATGGATGAAAGTATTTTATTTTTAATGTATATTATCTAAGTTTATTAAGGACATGTAACACATGTGCATATCAATAGCGCAGTATCAAACAGTGGACTAAAATCTGAGTATTGAGATAGATAACTATTTACTGAGGTATAATCATTAGCACATATATTTTTATCACACAAGACGAAACCAAACATCCTATTTGTTCTTCTTTTTTAAAGTTTCAAGACAATGTGGAGACGTCAGACTTTAATCTTTGCTACTTTGCATAATAATGTGAAAGGACACTACCCGGGTAGTTTAAAAGATCACACATACACACTCTCACACACAAACAGATATGAGACTTGGTTGAATGCGCCCCACACAAATTGCATGTGGTGTTGCAAACATTGCAAAATCACAGCAGCACAGCATTTGTTTTATTTGGTCACTGACATGTCATGTAATTGATCAGACCTGCTCTTTTTTTGTCTGCGTGTTCTTCATTGTGCTATATACCTCTCTAACTTTCCCTTTTCTGATTGCTGGTTTTCAGTGTTGTTATTCAATGTGTATTTCTCCCATCTCCCCTACTTGAGCAAGGTGACAATTACAGGGTTTCCAAGCTGAGAGGAGACACTCATCAACAGCTATAATCTGTGGGGACCCCTGTCACACACTCTCTCTCACTCTCACACACACACACGCACGCATGACCAACCTGCTTGTATAGCATCCGCATTCAAAGCCTGATATAGCACACACGCTTAAACACGCACACATACACACACACACACATTTTACCACCCCCTCATGTCCCATGCTGTTCCTCACTCACAAGTGGAGCAAGCAAATCCAGAGGCATGACAGACAGACAGACAGACATATCATTATCCAAGCCTTTCCATCAGTTTGGGTGTCTGATGATAGCAGGGATGAGGACCACAGTCCCATGATACTCTTAATGCAACTCTGTGCATACTAACAAATACCCAGACACTCACGCCGTCTGTAAAGCCCATACAGTATGTGCCTTTCACCTCAGCCAAAGTTAGGATGTTTTAATGGAAGAAACAGCGGAAAGAGTGGAAGCAGTAAGTTATTTAAGAAACATATAGTCATCTCAGCTTGTACAGCAACCTCGCTGAAGTACAAATCAGAGTCTGTCACCATGAGGAAAACTACTAGTGTTACTTTGTTCCAGCCTCTCTGAACTAACTCTTCAAATCTTTAGAAATGCAAAACTCCTTCCCATTCCCTGTCTCCCCTTTCCTCTGTCCTCTCCTCTTTTCCTGGTGTGGACCCTGTCTGGACCTAAACAGGAAGGGTGTGGTGCTGAGGTGGCACACCAGGGTCGCGACCTGGCCTCCCTCCCATCATTAGAGCCTCCAGCTGGGCCAGGACTTCCGTTGATGTGGTCCACCGAGGAGGGGAGGCAGGGGAGGGACATCCCTTTAATTGTACCCTAGGTCATAGCAAAAGGAATGTCTGAGGTCTGAGGCCTTGTTACACACTCACACAGACACACACATCTACAGACACTCAAATACACACTCTCTCTCTTGCTCTTTCTCCTCTGTCTCTCGTTGTTCTGTTCTATGTTCTCCACCTCCCATACACCCCTGCGGAGAAGGCCACTAATTGGCACATTGGCTGCCAGTGTGGGTGTGGAGGGAATGTCAGCACGCCACGCCATAGCATGGAACCCACAGATATCTCAAAAGCAATATAGGAACCCTGGGGAGAAACAGAGAAGATAAAAAGCACCTTACATCACAGCTTCCTTTGACCACTACATAATAACAAGCAGGTAAAAAATGATGATGCATTAATTCAGCGTACTTGATACTCAAGTTGCAGCCACGTCTGTAGGAATAGGAACGATACATTATGACAATAATTACAATTGCTTCACATATTATTACTAATATTTAAAATGAAATAAACGACACATCCACAGCTAAGTTCTCATTCTGTGGTAACATTAGAATAAGTAAATATGACCCAGATTATTAAAAAAAGACTTTGCTTTTATTGCCAGGTAGAAAACGAAAAAATCTTGGGTGCAGATATGAAAATCTGCAGAATTTATCTGTTAGTCTTACCGTTCCACAGCCTATATACCTAAAGTGAAATATAAAATAATGAAGAGTATAACATTGGCAGGTGCTAAGGTGTTTTCCACTGCAGATAGCATTTTTTTCATCCTCTATATCATACATGATTATGTATTTTTGTATGACTAACTCAGATTGTGAGTTGTGAACAAACAAAAAACGCAAGCTGAAGATCAGTTGAAGATGTAAAACAATGACAGTTCTTCAATTTGAGACCAATAGAAGGAGACTAGGTAGCAGAGCCAGCATAAAGACAAAAATAGAGTGGTGTTGAGGGCTGGTTAGAGTGGGTGGGAGGATAGGAGTGGGTCACTATTGGTGCATTTGAACTTGTGGCAAGCCGAGGTGCAGGGGGCCCAAAAGGAGGGAGGGCAGGTCAAGGACTGATAGCCCACAGGGTTGGTGGAGCCTCAGCCCGTGGAGCATGCAGCCAACTTTCCAGTCAACAGATGAGTCAGTCAGCAGAGATGCGCCTAAAATAAATGGCTTCCCTGTTCCAGGCGGAACCACACCCTCTCGTGGTTTCTTGGAGGGCAGCGTGGGCAGGCTGCGCGACCGCCCCTCTGGGGTTTCTGGGGCTTCTGGGGCTGTGGATGAATTTCAAAGGGGGAGGTAACAGAGGTAGAAAAGGGGATCGAGGGAGTGGGTGGTGAGTAGGGCCTGTGAGGACCATGGGGGCGTGTTTGAGGTCCCAACTTGGCAACATTAGGGTGAGGAGCTGGCAACCCCTCAGTCTTTTCATTGTTTATTGTTTACCCACACCGCGGACAGTAAACAATGGCACACCCACTCCTTGGGCAATCTGCGTTGGATGCTGGAGGTGAAGCTCCCAACCTTTCCTATTCCAACACACCACTGGGCCTTTATGGACAGACATAAAATCTCATTTGCTGTCTTTTCCTCTGTCGTATTTTGCATAAAATTCTCCATTATGTGTGTGTGTGTATATATATATATATATATATAATTTTTTATTTTTTTAACACATATAATGTAAAAAAAAAATCTTCTATTTCTCTCAGTCTCTTTCTTTCTGTGTGCTGTGTGTGTGCCTCTCTCCCTACTCCTCTCTGTTTTGTGCAGGTCCCTGAGTGATGGTCAGATGCTGACTCTCTAAAACAGTTCAAAGAAAAGGCTAAACCTTAAGTTGGTCCCTGACAGTACACCAAGGTGTTTTGGCCAGTTCAAGGTTAGATGCCCTCTCGACTCTTGCCGTCCATTTGTTTTCGTACGGTTTCTTTTAGAGTCTCACTCTCTGTCTTTCTATGTGTATGTGGGCATGTCCTCACCGTGATGGGTCTCGTTAGCTGTCAAGTGTCATCTTTATTAGCGCTCTCGGTGAGTCAGAGGAATGACAAGAGAGAGCTAGGAGTCGGTCTTTCATTACCCCTGGCGACGGAAGTGTCATTCTCTCCATCTATTATTCATATTCTCTTTAATTTAACCAGGTAGAAGTAGCCTCACAGCCCAGAATTCACAGATATAGTGAGTCACACTAGCAAGACAAACACGGACATGGACATCTTTTTTTTTAAAGCCATTCTCACTGAGACAATCTGCTTACTGACTGCCAGAACACATAGCAATTTTATGTTAGACTCGAGGCTTAAAAAACTGTAAAGATATAAGTGCCATCTGTTACAAAAATGTTGAATATAGTCAGTCAAAAAGTAATCAAAATACTTCTGTATGACAGTACACTCAGTGAAAACTTTGAAATCATGAAAGGCTAGGTGTGATTGTTTATATTATTACAAAGGGTTAAGGTTTTTCTATGCTTCATGCTTGAAAGGAGAAAATGCTAATCATTGCGCAATTAATTATGAATATGATAACATATAATAACATTGTTATTTTTTTCTTTTGTTTGTTTGTTTGTTTGTTTTTTTCCAGACATTTCTTAAATTTGCTTTGGGAAAAAAAATCTTTAGGGAGTACCTACCTTGCCTACATTAGATAAAAAAGATCAAACTGCAAGCATACACTCTTTAATGCAAACACACACACATACACACACACGCAAGCAAGCAATCATAAACAGACGCTCAAAATCCACTCAAAACCACACAGAACACACACTGACTAAAGCCTTTAGGAGCTCCAACTTCTCAAAGTTGGAATGATAAGAAGAACAAGGAGAGCAGAAAAGAGTGAGACAAAGAAAAAAAAGAAAAGGAGATAGCGGGAGAGAGGGCGAGATAGAGAAAAACATTACATTTGCTAGCCTAGAATTAGAGCGTGAATGTATTGTCACTCAACTGAATGTTGCAAACTCCAGGTTCCCTCAAAAACAGGGACGTTTCCCTCACTGCCTTTTCCCCCTGAGGACTGGGTGCGTTTGGGGAGATAATTGACGAGTCCCTTGGCATGCAGTCAGTGAACGAGCGCCACACTCAGCGACTCACAGCCACACAAAGCTCCCTCAGTGCGCGTATGTCAGTGTGTATGGCGAAACAACAAACTGGAAGGGGAGTGTGCGTATGTTTGTGAGTGCATGTATGGAAGTGTGGAAGTGTCCGCGTGTGCCCGTGTGTGGTGTGTGTTTATCAGAGAAGGAGGAGGAGAATGGGATGATTATTCCTTTCTTTGTGTCGCGTAATCCATTTCTGCTAAGCTTGAGAGAGCACCCAGGAGTAATGAGAGATGAACCTGAAACAGCCTGACTCTATGAATACCCTTCCGAGGGAAGGCCTGTGCGTTTTCTTTTTCTTTTCATCCCTCTCTTTCTCCGTGCCTCTGTCTTTCCTTTCCTCCGCCTGTGGAATACTTCTGTTTGACTAGCAACTGTTGTGTCTGAGCTGCTTTCTCAAACTATGAGACAGCTATGTCAGATCCGGTGTGATAGATTGAATGCCAGCTTTTTTTTCCCCCCTCCTTCCTTTCCATCTTTTTGTCACCAAAAAGCTAAATGCTTGCCAGACTAGATAAATTGTAGGTATCAGAGTCATGTTCAAGAGGAAAGTTTTAATTGTTTACAGGGAAAGTTCTGTTGAGGTGCCAAAGTAAAGTTGGAATAAGAAGTCTTCTATTTAAAAAGCTTGGCTGAAGTTTCGTATGACAGACCACAACATGTGATACTGACTGAGTATATGCAACATTTCCTATGTTCTCTTGTTTTAAATTTTGGTCATTGATTAGTCATTAGCATTGCAGTGGATGTTTTAAGATACACTGACAATTAGTCAAGAACAAAATGCAAAATATACATAAATACAAAAAGTGAAATTTACATCTCAATAATCGATTTACTGTTTCATCTCTGTCAACTATGAGAAGGGAAGAGTTGCATTTTCATTCGAACCTTCTGCATTATCAATAAATGTAAAAAAGGGGGAAAAAATGCTAATTTATCCTTAATTGCCCTTTCATTTCAACAAAACACTGTATTTTTACTTTAGTCTACATGAATAAATCCAGCTGATGAATTATGTTGAAACAATAAACATAAACTTAAAAAAAGATCCAAAATTTCAGCTTCAGTTTTCACGTAACACTAAATAGAAAAATGCATAAACACGTATCCGTGTTGTTTCAAACTACAGAACACTTTGAAAAGCTGAGCTTCCTCTAACAGCTGCCAAACTGACGCTATAAATACTCACAACTGGCCAGCCTGCTTGTATGTCTGTTTACATGGTCAACATTTCAGCACAGCTTCTATTTATTCAGTTAGTTTGTTTATTAATTTTGAAGTCGTTGTGCAAAATGAAACTGTCTGATGTCGCTTAGCACTTATTTCAATATATGGACATTTAAAGGTGTTTTTTTTTCCCCCTCTCAATTACAGCTCCAGTCTTCTGTCGTCTCAGGCGAAGCGGATTTTCTCCAGAAATGTGATACATTGAAAAACAAAGAGCAACTTATTTTCATGTGCGGTTAAATAAAATTTGTCTGTTTAAAAATCACAGTTCGTACTCGTAAGAGCAAAAGAGAGAATCCAGCCAGACGTGACAAGAAACAATGACACAGGGCCAAGTTTCCTAATATTCTGACTGGAACCGTATACACTTCTGCTAACAGATTGAGGAAGCTGTCATATCCACATTTGCCCGGGGACAAATTAATTCATAGGAAAATAAGAAGAACGGGCCGACACATAAGAGGATGTCTCAGCGTCAGACATACATATTAGAAAGACTATGAGAATCACTGTGTGAATCACTCAACCATCATCTCTTTAAGTGACAACAATAAGACAAATACGAGCACTTTTATAACCTTCAGTTTCACATAAAGCCTGTAGATAAGGCTGAATAAACAGAGAGAATATGTGCAAGTGTTTGTGTGATGTTGACTGCTTCGGAGTTTCTGAGTGTGCATGTGTGTGCGCACCGACATATGCGTGTGTATGTGAAAGAGAAAGTGCATGCCAGCAGAAGATTCAGCTGCGAGTGCAGTAGGCTCTTGCACTCAGTCAGTTTGTCCCTGCTGTGCACGCTCCCACCCAACGCCTCCATTCCCGACCCCCTGCAGAGGCCTCTGATTGCCGTGGAAACCGCACTTAAGGAGAAAATTAGGATTGCCTCCTCCCTAATTTAAAAGTACGGCTTAATTGGTTTCATTTATTACAGATGGAAATGCAAAATAAATGTTGTGGTATCTGATTTCATAGGTGTTCTTTTTTTATTTGCTTAGAGAGATGAGATGAAAATAAACAAATCAAACGACAGCTTAAATGAAGGAGCGCAGCGGCTGCCGAACAAGCACAGCAGAAGACAAAAAGAAACAGCAATCCAAACGTAGACAAAATACATGCAAGCATATAAACATACGGTGGACACACACAAACATATAAAACCATGCAGCGCTTCATAGAAACACCCTTTAAGGTACACTCAAGCAGGCTGAGTGTAGAGGTGGAAAATTACTGCTCTGATCCGACCTCCTCATGCACAATCAAGACTGGATTTGGTGCAGGTATATTTATCTCTTGTGGCATTTAAACAGACATGCAGCCAGAATTGAATAACACAAAAATCATTTTCTTACACTCTGCTGCTTGAACAGCAAAATGTTCAACATGTCTTCACATACATATCTTTTGCATGAACGTGCTGTTTAAAATGAGTACAATGTTTAAAATGAGTACAATTCGACATCAACATCTCTGAGGGGGTCGTAAACACCGCTCTTCCTCTCTGGTCATCTTCATTCCTCTCAAACATTTCCTCAACCAGGGATCTGCACGATCACACCAGAAGGTGACACCAGCCGGTGGTCATTTCTCTCTCACTGACCGGTTCTGTGTTGGAACCACAACCACGCCATCGCCACGCGACGTCCCGGGCCCAGGTGAGCTTACCACTATCCACGGCACAACGCAAATATTACTCCAGTCTTTCTTCTGTACATATGCACACAGGGGGCAAGCAGCGGGGCACGAGTGGTTAGTTTATTTCTGGATGTATTCATTACACAGTGAAAGGGTTGCAGTTGGGACTAGGCAATTGTGGCGCCAGCGTGTGATTGTGGCAAGACAGCCTGACCGCTCAAAAATGGCTGAGCTAACAGGGACGGGAGTGGAGACGAGCCGTACACTTGCAGTCTTTGGCAAGTTTAGTCTCCTCGCTACACCCCTCACTCCCCACCAAACACACCTTATGATGATTATTTACCCCACTGAAACCACTATACACCGAGACGGTTGACAAAAAAGCGCCAGAGAGAGAGAGAGCACAAAAGGGCAAGGAGAAGAAAGAGGCTGCGAGATCTAAAGTGGAGAATCTGAGTCTTTTCTGCCTTCGTGTTGAAACAGGCAACTTCAGACGAGACAGCCACCAAGCAATCTTGGCAATCACATACTCTTCCACAAAGAAATAATAAGCAGCAACTGGAGAGCGCGAGAGAGAAATTGTGAGAGAAAGAGAAATGGGAGGGTAAAAAGTGAGAAATGGATAGAGTTAAGAGAAACTACTTCTTTGGAGAAGTAACTATGCTCAACCTCCCAATGTTGAGAGAGCAAGAAGTTTATTTGATGGCTCTGTACGTTTGAAATGGTGAAAAAACCTGCTCCTGTCACCTTTGCCTTTCTGTGGCCTGTGTTGCTGAGGGTGTTTCACTCTGGAGTTGTTGTGGAGCTGTTTTGTGATGAGAACACCCTGAGGGAGACACAGTGGGACACAGGGTGTTAGGGTTCAGCTGTGTTTGCTTGCTTACAACCTGAGGAAGAAGAAGGAAAAAAAAACACAGACATAAAATCAATGATGAGACTGTTAGTGGAGGTTTAAAAGAGAACGTTTAGACAGGATCCCTGGGTGGAAGGTGATGTAGTTGCAGTTTGTAAAAAGCATGTGATCCAACTCTTCGCTGCAAAAGAGTGCGGGGCAAAAAAGCCTCTGTGTGAAATTGTGGTTTTGTGCGAAAACATATAGGAGTGATTGAGGCAGGGGATGAGTGAGCTTGAGAGCATGTGTTGATCTGTTTTTTTAGGTATTTATGTGAGGTGTAAGGGTGAAGGGGTGGGGAGTCGGTGCGCGGATGCGTGTGTGTGCTTGCGTGCGCATATGCGTACAAGTGCTAACGCTCTGGTTATCTTTTCTGTGTGTGGTTTAGAATGATAAATCACATCCCATTCTTTAACAGTGACAGCTCTTCGTGGCAGCAAATCTGATTCTGGCCTCTTAAATGAAGACATGTGGTTGAACGGAGGCTGTGAGATCTGAGGTTTGCGATGCCTCTCAAAGAGAATGTCTGAATGGGCCTTTTGATAAGAAAACAGCTTGAAGCCATCCCACACAGGCATGAAAACAGCATGCACCTCCCGTGCGAGAGCCAAACAGATTGGAGGGGATGTGATGTTGGATCTGTTCCTATTACCCAATGAGCCAAGTGCGCCGAGTGATTGACAATGATTAAGTGTAAGAGGGTATGCTAGTGTCATTCCCTGAAACATATTTCCTATGTGTCAGTGTGTAGGAGGGTTGGGCAGAGCTTGTCCATCAAAAAAGACAGGATGAATACGGCGTCCCTGTCATTTGCAGATCTTATCACTCTGGATCAAATTACTCTCTGTCGGGATACCTGAAGTATTATCTGATGTTTTCCCCCGTGCGATGGTAAAGTGTGCCTTTTTTTCTTAAGTGCAGTTCAAGCACAACAACAAAGAGGTGTATATCACAGACAAATAAAACTCCTCCAGCTTCGGAATGTGATCGTCCAAGTTTCAACTTGGAATCTGAGATGCAGTCTCTGCCAAGTTTCAGGAAAGCAGCGCTTGTTGACAAATTGGTTGAATCGTGATCAAGGCACCTGCCACATTAAGAACCTGAAACAGGCACCATTTGGCGGTTCACAAGGTCACTCGTTCCGTGTTGAGGAGAGGATGCGCGTGCCAATTTTTTCCTTTCAATCATATCGTGCATGCAGAGATTAACACCTACTTTTGCAGGGTTGGTTTTGGATCAGATGTAACAAAAAACGTATTTATAGGTGGCCCCCTTTCACGGCTGTTCTTTAATTCACTTTCTTTATACGCCACGCAGTTTTTATTACAGCTACATCACCTTGTAGTCTGTGTTTCAGCGCAGACTACAGGAGTACCCACTCTGAGTTACCTGCTTGTCAGTATTAGTGCCCTTCTGAGCTCAGTGTATGCTATATGTTTTTCCTAATTGCAACCACATAGCAAAATATAAACACAAAATAGAAGTGGTTATGGCAATTTCACAGCATAACAATAGTGCTGGCGGTGTAATGCTTTTATTTATTCTTAACGAGCTTCTAAGTGAATCTCGAGATATCATACAGTGGAGTGGCGTCCGAGAAAATACAGGGGTTAATATTCTACTCCTTCCCATAAGTATTATTTGTCTTTTGTAATTTTCAAACTTCAGTGGAAAAATGTATATTGTATACAAAAATAAACTCTATCCATTGCACTCATTAAAAAAAGTCAAGTATTACTGGTGTGTGGTTGCAGAACTGCAAGAAAAATCAAACACATAGATGATGACAATATCAACAACATAATGTATTACAGTGGATGGCGGGACAGCACAAAGACGTGTTGAAAAAAGATCCCTGTCTTGCTGATTTCATGTAGACGCCACTTTTTTTGGCTTACCGCACATGTCGTTTTCATGACAAATCACCGAATTGATTTGGAAAAAAACATTTGGAGGAAAGTTTAATTTTCTGCTTAGCAAAGATTTAAATGTATGCAATTATGGGAAACCAGAAAATCATACAGGGAGCTTCAGTAGGAGAGTGAGAAACAATAAAAAAGAAGAGGACGATAGTGAAGGAAACAGCAACAGTTGCAGACAGTGCTCTCTCTCTCTCTCTCTCTCTCTCTCTTTTCTCCATGAGCTTTCTCTCAGGTATGTTAAGAGGCAGCATGCTGCTGCTGTTGCAGCAGCAGCAACAGCAGCAGTGTGTCTTTGGCTGACCTATTTAGGTAATTGCACTCTTCATTAAAAAAAAAAAAAAAAAAAAAAAAAACTCCATCTGTAAGAGAAATTATACTTCCCCAATGGTATCTAGGTAACATAATCTCCCTACGGCGGACTAATTGCATGGCATGATAACCTCATAGGCTCGGCCTGTTTAATTTTTCATCTCTTTTCAAATAATTATGGATCAGTAGAGAGAGGTATTGATTTGATTCATTAACTTCCCACACTGAGCCAAGGTTAACGATTACACAGATCCCCAATTACTCGGTAAAGATCCACTGGTCTATTTGATTTGATTGGGTTCCACTTTATTATTGGCAAAGGTTGTCCTGAACCAGGAGCAGGGACTAAGGAGCAGACCTACTGTAAATGCACAATCCCTCCCAATTATGAGCACATTATTGACAGGTAAAATGAAGGTCTGCAGCTGAATAATTTGCTTTAGAACAGACTATAGTAGTATTTTCTATGGGGAATTGCATTCCCCTTAAGATGTGCCTTTCCACCAC